CTAATTGAACGTGAGCCAGGGTTGTTTCCACGATAACACAATGTGTTTGGTTTTAATCATATTTTTCATCAAATTAGTAGGACTTCTTCACCGATAAAAGTCACGGTATACATATTGTGAGATTTTAATTTTGGTATACTTTTTTTAGTAAGTTGCTGTGCTTGTACACATCAGTCATTATTGCCTTTAAGCCGATAAATCAGCCACATACCTATAATGATTGTAACTGGAAGTTATGGGAACGATCTCGCCTATTATTTAGTAATTGCAAAAATCTACAGACACTCTTGCCTGATCATATAATTGCTGGTATTTCTCGTGGCTGTTGAGCTATCTTCGTCCGAAGAGTCCTATTGTCAATTATGTACACCCATTTTCCGGATAAAATCCTGTGTTTAGCGACTTGCAAATCCACGTGGAACAGTATGACATTCTGTCCTGTGACCATTTTGGATTTTGCACTCGATAAGGATATAAAATGTAAACAGGCGTATTCCTGAACAGCTTGCATACAGAAAAATTGCACATTGTAATAAACAGGTGACACCATCACTATGAACACAAATTTGGCGGGGGAGCATTTGTCGGACTATATTGACTTGTGGTGATTCGTTAGTTACACCACCATTCTCGCACATCCGCAAAATATCAACCACTCTCCATGATCGAGAAATAAGAAACGTATTTGCCATAAACACTTATTTAAAACAAAGTGAATTGAAACCCGTTTTTATTTGCATAGGTAAAACATTTTCTCTAAATATTACACATACATTTCTCAGTCAACACTTCTTATTTCTGACATCAGTACAGAAAAGATATATTGAATCAAAAGCTTTTCGCCAATCTAGCACACATGTTGTATATTTGCGACTGTGACAAGGTGGTGGGTTCAAAACGTTAAACCAACCCCTTCTCTACGGTTCTTTGCTAGGGAATGACCTCCAGCGATGTAATTTACCAAGTGTGGATGGATAGAAAGAATAATACAGATCTCTGAGCAAGTATATTGAATAATTAAAACAATGAGCCTCCTTTCAATGAAAAAATATATAATTCAATTTAACAATAGAATTTCAAATGGATAGAAAATCAGTTCCTTTTGATACAAAAAAAAGAAAATTGCGAACAAGTTCTCAATAAAAGCAAATACAAATTTTACTTTATTATTAATTGTCAGTGACAGAATAAATGCAGAGTTTCATCATAGCCTACGAGTCGTGACTTTGAGTTCGACGCCGAATGACATCATCACCTAGCTTTATCCGGACATCGAATTTTCCGTTCCTTCCTGCACTGCCAACCTTTGTCTAATAGTCTTGACTTGGACCATTGCCAGTCGAAACTTGAACGATTTGACGATTGTATCTAGAACTTGAATTCGACTGCGGACTTTCCTGATTAATATTCGCTGTAGGAATGTTGCTGAGGAAGCTATTTCCTTTGCCGCTTTGTTCGTTTTTTTTTTCTCCACGAACTTCCAATGTATAGTCTGTCTACTTTCTGAGATGACTAACTCGCCTTTCTTCAGTCACGAGGGACGTACTACTTGCGTTCGTCCCCCGGAGTCCAGTCTGACTTCTCCCAAGCAAGACTGAAGACTGAAGCAATTTTGCAAAGTAAAGCAATTTATTCTTACAAGAGGTACGCCCTTAAGTTTCATTTAGCCAATCAGAATCGACTTATTCCTAAAATATCCTTTGTAAAATATTTGATTAACGAGAATTGGCTAATTATTCCGCAATTAACTTTCCTTTGAACAATCAATTATTGACGTGCTTCCCCTTTTAACCTGTGCGAGTTCGAAGAGTGTTCTGCCAAAACATTTGTACCATAACAGATGATTCAGTCAAATTTATGATGCGAAACCAAGTTTCTTTTGACGTTCAGAGATGAAATGAGAATAATCATATAACTCTCTCTCTCTCTCTCTCTCTCTCTCTCTCTCTCTCTCTCTCTCTCTCTCTCTCTCTCTCTCTCTCTCTCTCTCTCTCTCTCTCTCCTTTAATTAAGTTAACTTTGGTACAATTCATTTAAGCATTACTTCTAAGAGTTTCAAAATTCGACACATCACAACGATACAGAATCGTCGGAAAATGACCATCTATAATTTAAATATATGATCTGTTCTGTGGTAGTCTTTTCTGTTTCCTGTCTAAAGTTGCACAAATTTAATTCGTGTACAAAATGTTAAATTTGCAATATTTGAAACTAAATTAACTAAATAACAAATAGACAAACAAACAAAAACAACTACTTTATCTCATTAAAAAAATACAGCATATAAGAATATGACACTGTTAGGTATCACGATCGTTATCTGCACGAAGAACTTGCAACTAACAAATATCTGTAACATGTATTCCTGTTTTTAAATCTACTGGTGTTAGACCATTGGAGCTTACGGGATAGCAAGTTGTCCTTCATCTGTCCGTCTGTCGGCACAAATTTAATACTGCTTGTCTTTGCCTCGAAGCTTTAAACACACAAACATACACACAGTCATCACACATCTGATACGGATGTCACACTGACCATCTTGAATTGATAATATTTATATCGTTACTCTTCTAAAGTGGATGTCCACATCAATGATAGGCTTCTTACGATGACCAGCTGGTCCTTAGTGACAGACACCATGAAAACTACTACCCAGTCTAAGCGAGATGTTATGTTATTTTGTTATCTCTATTACTCATCCTTGATGACTTTTACACATTTGCTCATTTGGACTCTCTCTCATAAAGGACCAAAATTTTAGGTCGATCTTTGTATTGTTAATTGTGGTAGAACACTTTTAGTTAAACACATGTATCATTAACGAGATTTATAGGAGAATGGCCACATTTAGAAGGCCTTGATGTATGGATTGGTTCGCCAAAGGCTGGAGTTATTGATTTATAATTAAGGGCTTAGTTTGTTTTTAGCTAACCGGAAAGGAGTTTAAGTTACGGTTTTACACGGAAAACTCTTCAGTTTAAATGTGCAAATAGAAATTTTAGAATTCAGCCTACACTTTTTCCTGCGAGATGATGAATATACAAAGATAAGGCTCCGAGGGATTTAATGAGTGAATCGCTCGTTAAAATTCAGCCAGGGAAAGTTATTGTCTGGGAAAATTGACAGACACGTTCTGGAAGTAAGAGCTTGGGGAAAAAAAAAACCCACCAAGGTAATTGCAACATTCTTATGTAATTCATTGATTTTACTATGATGATTGTAGGAGTTATCCCAATGTATCTGCATGAATTTATTTGTTAAGTTCGTAGATTTAATTTCTTGATATGATATACATAGGTTAAGTTCGTTTATCAGAGTCCGTACAGTGATATTTTTCTTTATACAAACATTCACGACTTGTTGAACTTATAGTTCGTTTATAAGTGAAAATTATGTGTTTAAAATTGTGTGCCTTTTTCAAACTGAAATGCTGGAATCCGTATGAATTCTCCAACATAGATATGAGTTCATGTGTATAATTGCTATTGACCTGGAACTAATGTCGGTAGGAAGTGTTAAAATAGCCACTTAATTACCATTAATATTGTGAAACTAGCTTCTGTACATTCTGTCGGGGCCAGTTAACTAGATAGCATTATAATCTGTTTGAATTTGGGAAAGAATATAGCTGACCTAACGAGAGGAAGTGTATTTATTTATTTCCCCAGTATAATGTGACGGAATATTGAGGTTGTTTATTTTGTTATTTTGGATGGGCCGAGTTAGCTCTGTAGTCTACGCTCAACGTATTAAGCCTTACGGACCCAAAGTGGACACAAAGTTGGAAATTTGGAAAAGAAAGTCAAAGGGAAGGAGACCTGGACTTACCAGCGCACGGAGTCAAAATAAACAGTCACTGTGGAATTCGGACTGAAACCAGACTATCAGGTTACAAAAACTGTACAAGGCAATGACTTCGATATATTCAATGTGATTTAAATGATGATTTAAATTCTATCACATGACAGTTTGGCTATCGGTCTCATTATTTCTTGTATTCGTAAATTCGTGCAAAAAGCTAAGTCAAAAGAAAGAAGTGTACCTTTCTATCGTATTGTACTATTAGTGTTATCTTTGTTTTTGAACTGTATTGCTAAATATTTTTGATTAAATTTTGTCTTTATTTGTAACGGGGGCTCGATTTATCCGTTTTATATACCTGTTCAGTCTTCTTATCTATTTCATCCGACATTTCTCAGTTTCTATTGATATTTACTCGTTCCGGGCAAATTACACCGTCGGCGATCGGCCCTAGACAACGATAACCAAACGGGCGAACACCTAACCAAAACAAAGTTGGGAGGGAGTAAAAACAAACAATGTGACACACACGCACGCACGCACACACATACACACACCAATGTGAGAAAGTTTAAGTGTCTTCCCGTGCGTTGGTTGTTCTTCCCAGAGTTTTCCGTGGTTCTTCCTCCATCTATGTGAAGCGCATCATATGCTAAAATGAAGGAAACACAACAGCACCAACAACAACAACATATGTGTTATTGCTATAAATATACCAGCGAAGAGTTTAATACATTATCGGAATAGTTACTATACATTACCGTTTTTTTTACCTGCATATGAGCATGTTGTTTTATGAAACATTACAAGAAATCCTTATGAGTGTTCTCAAAATAGAGCAATGAAAGTTGATGCAGTCAATGTATATAAATTTAAAGTGCATTTAATAATTATTCCATTACTCCGATTTTAATCCATCCATGTTTCTTAATAAAATCTTAAATAGTACGTGTTGTGTGTGTGTGATTCAGATGTTTAACTTCGCTTTAACAATTTTTCAGTCATAATGCTACGATGTCTACAGTGTGCCATTTTAGAATGATGTCTAGCACTGGAGTATCATGCCGTAGACATGTAGCACTATGTCCCACCAATTCACATTATCATGCCACCAGGCCGACCATTCCTAACACTAACCTCTTAATAATGAGGCGCCAATCGAGGCAGCTTTTAGTACCATTTTTTAAAGTATTTTGCTATGACTCGACCTGGGTTAGAACCCGCGACCTCCTGCATCCGAGGCGGACGCTCTAACCAATAGGCCACCGAGGCGGTTTAAATAGTACATACTGCAAGAGCAAAACAAACGTCCCCAAAACGGATAATTAATTTAATTTACTCTTAAGCAAGCAACTTTAAAGTACTCGTACACAATTTGTATATATATATATATATATATATATATATATATATATATATATATATATATATATATATATATAAACATCTATTTGAATATCGTATAAACGTTTTGTATTATAATAAAAATAATGTCGAATGTGATTGTCACAATCATAAATTCAAAGAGCATCTTTATAAATTAAAGTTATTTCTGTCGGATTAAAATGCTTAAAATGTAAAGAATGAAGTGGGGATCTTAGCGCATTTAGAACAAACGTTCAGAGAGCAGCAGTTATCTAAAGTATTAAAGTTTTATCAACCTGTACTTTTATAGAAAATTATTATCGGAATTAAATTTATAATGGCGTGGAAAATAACACGTTAAAAAAGCACACCTCTGTCTAGCTTGTTGCTTATGTTCTGTATTGTATCATCATTAAAGTGTGGTAAAACTGAAAAGCAGGAAAGTATTAGTCAGAATTTTTTTTTTTATTTCTAATAATAATTGTGATTTGAAATGCTTTTAATTCTTAGCTCACCCGACTGTTAGACAAAATAAGTTGGCTTTGACTGGAGTCAGTCGTCCGTCTTAGATCAGTGTCTGCTATTTGTATTTTCTGCTCAGGACTAAGCTGAGCTTCCTGTCATGAAGAGTTATAAGATTTGTATACGTGGTGCCACAAAACGTACCAAAATCTTTTTCTGTAGTCTGGGTTTTACATGACTATATCAGTCACTCATATTGCCTTTATTGATACCATACTTCTTGTACAGCTGAATATATTTTCCTGTTTGATCAAATTCACTTTCACTTTCAGGCACAAAATGACATGCTTTTTGCAGCAATAATCTCCGATTTAAAAAAAAAACAACAAAAAAAACAACAGAAAACAAAAACAAAAAAGCAATAGCATTATCCGGATATCCTGGGTCATAAGGTCATAAGTCAAAAGAGTAACTATAAACACTCGTATTTTAACCGACGAAAACGACTACATACGATACGCAGGTGGCGGTAACGTAATTCTACTAATGTGTGTGTACACTCAAGCGTCACAAATTATTCCAGAAACCAGTTCATATTTCAATTGAATAGTGTATAGTTTTAGCGAACTATGGCCAATTAGATAGGTTTCAGAATCTTTTATAATAATCACATCATAATAACGTACTTTCCCATAGATGTGAACAAAAAGAGATATTTAAAACAACGCTGCACTAATGTAGTCGTGATCATATGAAACGGTTATTATTGAATCAAGTGCTAGAAAACTCAAGCATATTCCTAGCAACGCCAACTGGGAAGCACATCAGTTACAGTTTCCTCTGACCGTCCCCTTCCCATTTTAAATATTTTGACGGTTATGTACTCATCAATATCACTGTCTGAATATCTAAAATGTAGCGCGAAAGGTCATAGGAAACTCGGACTAGAAAGTAATCTCGAAAAGAAATCTTTTTTTTTGGATGGTGCTGGGTTTTCAAAACAAGCTAAAAATACTGCATATTTCATTTTCGTCGATATTAAGAACTTGCTAAAGTTAAATATACACGTCAGCAGCGTTTGTTAAAAAAGGCTTCACGATAAGAAAGCATTCTAACGTCCAATTAACATACATACATACATACATACATACATACATACATACATACATACATACATACATACATACATACATACATACATACATACGTACGTACGTACGTATGTACGTACGTACGTACGTACGTACATACATACATACATACACACACACACACACATACATACATATATATATATATATATATATATATATATAAATATATATATATATATATATATATATATATATATATATATAAATATATATATATATATATATATATATATATATATATATATATATATATATATATATATATATATATATATATATATATATATATATATATATATATATATATATATATACATTATTAACGGTATCTATCTTTCTTTACACATCTAGCTATATTGTTCTATTGAAGTTTTTTTTGTTGTCAATATGGAATGTGTTCTTGACATTCTTTTTTATTAAAAGAAAAGATAATTATATTTAATAACATATAAATGTCAGAAATAATGACCACTCCGGTAGCCTAGTGGGTAGAGCGTCCGCCTCGAATGCGAGAGGTCGCAGGTTCGAATCCCTGGCCGAGTCATACCATAGACTTTTTAAAAAGTGTTACTAACAACTGCCTCGCTTCTCGCCCAGCATTAAGTTATTAGTTTTAGAATTGGTCACCCTTGTGTCAGGATAATGTGACTAGGTGGGACATCATACCACAAATATCTGTGGAAATACGTCTCAGTGTTAGACATCGTAGCGATATGACTGGACAATTGTTAAAAGCTATATTGAAAATCTAAATCACAAACAGAAACATCTAGCTCACGTTTAATTTTATCTTGGCACGCCGCTGCATATTTTGTCATAACTAACTACACTTTGTTTCGTTAGTAACCGCATCTAGATGCATACATGAAATTTGTGTTTCGAAAGTTTTATTGTAAGAAATCATTAGTTGCAATCGTATTTTGGCATTAATCTAAGAATATTATTTTATTTATTTTTGTAAGTTTCAATAAATTTTTATAATAGTTCATCCCTGTTATTTAATGTTTGTATTATTAATTAAAATGTAAACATGTGTTATTATTGCAAACATATTTCGTGAAATTATCCACGAATACTGTATATGTTAAACAGTCTAGAATAAATAGCTAACCACTGCTATCGACTTCATATAAAAACTAGAATTCTTCATATTTAGAAATAGACTTTACTATCCGGGTTATCTTAGGTTAAAGGTCAAGGGGCTTAATATGGCGGAGTAACTTACAAGGTGGGTAACAAATTATTAGCCGAACTGTTTATATTGTATTTCATTTATATCAAAGCGAGAATACGATTTTTAGGGCGATGAAAGAATCCTTTAGTAGAGTCCTATCTAATTTTTATGATGGCGTTAAAACGAGGAAAAGTAGGTCAGTGACAGCTACCGAGCGGAAGGCATACACACCTGTCTTGCTAGCGGTGACTGTAGTGTGGTGACAAAATCGCGAATTCTGATGCTGTTCACAGGCAAGGCACATTAATAATCCTATTATAATGTTTTTATTATTCGCAGATGGCAGGGATGGGATAAAGATTTACCCATTCAATTTTAGAATAATGGATTTTTTTCTCTCGCTAATCAGATCATTCTTTCAGATATGTAACTGTTAGGCCTACTTGTAAACAAACAATACGAAAGGGGTGTGGTGACATGTATTAAAGCCCTGTATGTTTTCTTATCAGAATGGATTGCAGGTAATACTTTCATAAAAAAGAATCCCTTTATCCAGGGTGACTAATTATAAACAATACATTATTAAAAAGTAAGCTTCGGTTTTCATTCTGCTTGCGATTAGTACCCCTCTCCTTCACCCACATTATCTCCAAAACTTCATGTGTGGAATTTGATACTAGATCCAGTGTCCCATTTAGTATAAAGCACCCTTAGAAATCATTTATATGTTAAAATAACCCAAGCAAAAAGGAGGAAACTCATGACTGGAATGGATGTGGGTTTAAAACATGACATTAAAAAAGCACAGGTTGGTTGTCATGTGTCACAGTACTAAATAACTTGCTGTGCTTTAAAAAACTAAACCAGTCTCTGGACATGATGCAACTAATAATTGTGACCAGTATCTTGGCATGATATATACCTAACAATTTGCTAAAAGTACTGTTCAGTCAAGTGAGCAAGCAAGCCATCTATCCATTGCAGGTGTTTGGATTTGTTTGCTTTTTTGTAATGCCAAACCTTACTTGTCTCTTTATGGCCATTATTGTGCTGATGTGCCAGCAAACAACATACAGTTGGCCTAGGTCATTCATATATATATATATATATATATATATATATATATATATATATATATATATATATATATATATATATATATATTAGGTAATGTTGCTTTCTTGTGGGTAAGTGTCATTTTAGCTTTGATAAATGTTTAAAATATTAAATGAAATATATCCATGCAAGTATTTAATATTAGCTTTGCCATTCTATCCCTTACTTAAGTTGGGGATTATGCATCCCTGCCTGTCCACATGTGCATGTTTAATGTTATGCAACTTCTTATCTCAAATTGAGAGACTTCAAAATTGAAGATATGATTGGGGTTCACAAATCTGAACAACAGTTTTAGAATATTCAGATTGTGGAGGCTGGGAATGAAATATGGAAACTTGTGCATGATAGTCAAACCTGTCTTCTGCAGCCACACATGGGGAAAGGCAAAAGTGGCCTTTCTATACAGGTGTCCTCAGTAGGCAGGTTCAACTTTCAAACTTGGTTCATGACAAATTTATATACTGTGATTCAATAAGATCAGCATTTGTTATCAAAACAATTGGGTACATGCAATTTTTAATTTTTTTTTTCTCATTCACACAGACACATGCACACACAGACACTTTACCTTATTATCAGTAGAAATGACTTTTAAATAAAGTTGCATACTGACAGCTTACATGCAGTATTCAAACACACAACAAGAATGACTTTTGGCTAGGGCAACTTGGTATCCTTAGGAATGAAAATAGGTGTTTACACTCTAAACAGTTGATGGATTAAACTGTTGCCCAAACTCACTGAAATTTAACCCTTTCATCACTAAGTAACTTTGTAGGCATAAGTCCTCAACACTAAGTAATTTTGGAGTTGTAAAGCAAAATGACTTGTGGACTTTGAAACAACATAACTTTGCCCATGTTAAAGATATACGGCTGGATTTGGTGTCAAAAGCAAGGTTAAAAATCAAATTTTATGACTAATTCTATAAAATGTGCATATGTATTAGAACTGTTAAAATGCAGGTACAAACAGGTAAAACAACAGGTAAAATACAAGAAATTATTTTATTACCTCTTAGAAAACATAGAAAGTTCTCAAAACTTGTTCAATTGACCCTAGATGTACTAGTGAATAATCACAGTAGCAAAACACGTCTTTCTTTCATGGTGTCCATAATATATAAGATTCTATAAAATGAACCAAAATGATTTCCAAGGTGAGATCTGTCCACACACCTGTCAGAAAACTGAAACAAATCTCGGCTTCATCAAAAAAAAAAAAAAAAAAAGGGAGTGTACAATTCCTCTGGTTCAAAACCTTCAAAGTCCTCTTCATCGTCATCACTGTCACCCACAAGTGCATTCCATTGTCTCTCCATACGTCTTCTCTCATTTTCATCCAAATTTACCAGGTTGAAATTATTTAAATACTCAGATAACTCTCCTCTAAAATTCCTTCAATCGCCGCCATTTTGGATACAAATTTCAGCATTCTGAAAACACGTTAAAAGTTCCTACTTTGTTTGATATTTCTAGTTGTATACAAGCTAAACTCATGAGATCATCAAAATATAACATCTACATTACAAGGGGGAAGTTATTAGAGGTACCCCCGAAAGATATTTAGTCTGGTACTATAATGCTAAAGAAGAACATTGCCCCAGATCAAAACGTCGGTCCATAGTTTTTACAGATTTACTTCCCCCTGACCGGTTTTGTGGTCCACAGTAATGAAAGGGTTAAAGACATTCCGCTTTTGTTTTCGATATTTGATGATTAGGGAATGAAAAGAATAATAGCACTTAAACTGACCCGTTTCATCCCATTTTTGATATTTGGATATTTTTGTTGGGGTGTAGTGTCAGAGTCAGAGGCCTGTTGCAGAGTTGGAATTCACAAAGCCAGATTTATCATGCTGAGATCACATGTAAACTGTATAGTGACATGATACTCTGACATGCACTGAGTGATAAATTGTACTTTTTCCAAGTTGACAGTGATAGTTTTCTGATTATGGTGATAAATATGTTGAGAATTATGTGTCATTTTGTTCTTTTACAAACAGTATGTGACTTTCATTTCATAGTTTTGAATTTTTGTATTACAAGATTGGAAAGGGGTTTATTGTGGATATCATGTGACTATTGGATCATTGTGATGTCATGGATATGTAGGTTGTGAGATTTGTGTAATCATGTGACCAGCATTGTAGATGGTGAGTACCAGGTCATATTTTATTAATGCTTTAGTTTTGTCTTGTCAGCGATTAAAGATACAACAATTATAATATTCATAATTTCTCATAAATACATTTTCTATTGATTTCATGCAGGCATGACTCAATGCAACATCATTCAAGTTTATTATATCTGCTGGTAAGCGGCTACCAAACTTTTAAGTGGGCAGATAACTCTGATCCTTTGCCTCAAGAACAATGTCCAAATATTCCACTGCCTCAAGAACTCGCTGACATTAGGGTCTAAAATCATCAACCATGATATAAGGAAGGCAGGAGTTATCAAGGGACCTATAACAAACAACAAAACTAACAAAGGGATCGACGTAGAGGCAAGAGGGGTAGGGGTAGCTTTGCTTGTTACAATGTTGAATACTCAATAATCGTGCTAAGATTAACAGTGAATAAATATTTCTTCATATTGGTGTACTTTTGTGTTAAGTTTTTCTTCACAGAGTACCATTAATTTCAGGACAACTTACAGTAAGTATACACCACTCCCTCGATAACGTGTGCCGGATAACTCTCGCAAACTTGCCTATAGCGCAGTGTCTGGCATGGCTCCCAATTTTTTTCAAAGGAAATATATTTTAAAATGGGGTAAACATGAAAAAAAAGAGATAAGAATTGGTATATAATAGAACCTTGTTACATACTGTATATTATGTAAATTTTCATACACAAAAAATAATTATAAATCATTAATTTTTGTAAAAACAAAATGGGAATATGGTATTTTCGATCTTTTTTGCAAACGTAAATCTTCTTAGTGGAAATTTTATGTCCGATAACTTAACCAATTTTTCAAATACAAAGAGATCTATACGAATAATTATGATACATTTAAATAATTAATATTTTGATAACTGGATTGTGTATGAAAAATTACATGAAATACGGTACCTCGTTATATTATCGGAAATGGTGATTATTGGCGTAAAGATAGACTCCATATCATGAACTTTTCAAGTTCTAATTAGATGTCTCATTAATGTGTTTGGGGATTTTTGAGAGAAAAAGTTTTTAATACTCAGTAAATAATCATTCTGCCGAAACAGGATCAATGAAATACT